GAGTTGAGTTGTGAGTGTGTGTATGTGTGTGTGTGTGTGTGTGTGTCTGACCTGTGTGTGAGCGCTTGTGCAGCTCCAGGTTGCTGGGATGTTTGAACGTCTTTCCACAAACCTCACAGCAGTACTTGTTCCCGCTGCTGACCTCTGACCTCTCAACGTGACCTCTCAGGTCGTCGGTCTCCACCGCAGGTGTTGTCTTCAGCTCGGACACTTCTGCCGGGTCAGAGGTCACGGAGAGATCAGAGGCGTGGGTGGGGTGAGTGGGCGTGGCCCCCCGTGGGTCACAGTGCTCCGCCCCCTCATCCTCCGCACTGACGTGTGAGCGCAGGTAGTTGAACTTCTTCAGGTAAACGGTTTTCTTCGGACGTAGGATGTGCAGGTGGGCGGAGTCAGAGCCGCATGGGTGGGTGGAGTCGGAGTTGCATGGGTGGGCGGAGCCAGAGCCGCATGGGTGGGTGGAGTCCGAGTTGCACGGTTGGGCGGAGTCTGGGCCGCATGGGTGGGTGGAGTCGGAGTTGCACAGGTGGGCGGAGTCTAAGCCGCATGGTTGGGCGGAGCCAGAGCCGCATGGGTGGGCGGAGTCTGCCACGGGAATGCTGCTCTGGAGCGGCTCCTCCGGCGGGAAGTTGCAGCTCTGCTTCAGATACTGTCTGGTGTAGAAGTTCCTGAGCTTGTATCCGTGTGGCAGGGGCTTGTGCAGATCTGCGTCTGACGGTAACGATCCTCCGATCACGCAGTCCTGATCGTGAGCCGCGTCGGCGGGCAGAGAGAGAGCCGCGTCGGTCGACACGCAGGGCTTCAGGAACGCCTGACACATGTTCAGGATGTTCAACACCTGAAACACCGTCAGCATTTACAAACATGGTCAAGTCACGTTTATTTCTATAGCACTTTCAACGTTGATTTTAATCAGTTTAACAGTTGAAAAATCCATCAATTATGAGATTTAATTTCAGCTGAAAAGCAGTTCTACAGAAAACTATTTATTCAGTTCAATTAATTCTTGAATCAATTCAGTTCAAAGTTGATTCAATTCATTGTTAATTCAATTAAAGGAGTCATATGATGCTGCTAAAAAGAACATTATTTTGTGTATTTGGTGTAATGAAATGTGTTTATGTGGTTTAAGGTTCAAAAAACACATTTTCCACATACTGTACATTATTGTTTCTCCTCTATGCCCCGCCTTCTGAAACGCGTTGATTTTTACAAAGCTCATCGGTCTGAAAAAGCAAGGTGTGCTGTGATTGGTCAGCTATCCAGTGCGTTGTGATTGGCCGAATACCTCAAGCGTGTGACGGAAATGTTACGCCCCTTACCATATTGTGATGCCCTGTCCGGCCGGAG